GTGTATTTTTTCTGATCGGCTTCATTGAAATTGTCAATGGCCTCCCTGTAGTAGTCTACTGCCTGTTTGTATACCTTCTCAGCTTCTTTATGCCGCTTCCAGAGTACTTGTTCAGCTTCGGCTCTCCAGATTGGGCTGACTTCTAGAAGATGCGGTCCAAAATTGCTACTTGGAATACGTTCCAGGATATGGCCTACAAGTTCGGGGATTACTGATACTGCGTGCAGGTTTTGGTGGCTTTTTAGGATCTCCCTATTGATACCCATAACATCAGGGACTGTGCGGCCAAAGATTCCTGCCAACTTTTCTACGGTATATGTCATTTTTTCGTTCTATCAAATCGAGTACTAATTTATAGTTATCTAATCTTCAATTGCCTAATATATTTTTTCCAATGATCCGTGCTCCTACCCGGTTATATCTCTATGGCTCTACAGGCCTTCTAGGGACTTACCTGCTAATAACTTACCTGGTTTGCTATCTCATTGCTTCCAATAGGAAAATGAATGGAATCCTGTACGTGTGGAAGATGTGGAAGATGTGGAGGATCTGGGGGGGTAAAATCAAAACTTTTTTCTGGGGGGATCCCTCTCCCGATTTTTTTAAAACGTCCTCCACATCCTCCACATCCTCCACACTTCTCCGATTCCCTCTTATTTTCCTCTCTTTTCCCTTATTTTATCCTTTTTTGTTATATATTTTTGTGGAGGATCTATGTGGAGAATTGTGGAGGATCTATGGGGGTTCCCTACCCCACGGAGGGTGGATGTAGGTACTGCGAGGCCGTGAGACCGAGGTGGGGTGAGCGCTAGCGAGACACACTACCAGCCCGACGACACAGACCTACCACTAAATCTCGCATTAATTCAATAGTACGATTTTAAATCTAAAAGGAACCCATATTTATATGGATGTCCTCACTTAAAATTGATAGAATTATATAACTTTGTAGCTATAGAGTCTATACATGGTGTCGTTCACATAGTACCTTGATTTGATAAACAAAATGAATATTTTGTAAATAAATATATTTTTTAGTCACTTGATATAGGAGTTTTGATTTATTTTAATAAAATTATATCCTTAAAAGAATTTATGATCATGTTTTCCATATCATAAATAAAATGCAGATTTATTTATTTAATTATTAATAACTCGGTTTTGACATAAATAAATCGTGACTGAAATTTGTGTTCAATTTGTGTTCAATTTGTGTTGATAATTCTGGTAAAAAATTATTAATTTTGGCTAAATTTCGTTAAATTTGATAAATTTGTATTGAATTTGTGTTGAATTTGTGTTGCGTAATTTTTTATTTATCACAAGGGGATGATATTTAGTAATTGCATGTACGATGTACAAGATTTTTTTTATGATTTTTTTAAGAAATGTACGCAAAATATTTAATCAAAATATAATTGTTTTATTTTTAAATATGATATATTGATGATTTTTTTTTTTAAAAAAAAAAATTGATTTTTTTAAAATTCAATAGAATGTGCTAATAATAAATTGTTTTATTTTTAAATATGATATATTGATATTTATATTTAAAACAATTAAACATGTACATGATTTTCAATTATTTTTAATTGAAATCAAACTAAGATTTTTTTTTATTTTTTGATTTAATCATATTTATATTTAGATAATCCATATTCGCATGAGATTTAATTAATATGTTTAATGATGAAAAGTCTAATAAATTAAATTTTAATTGAAACGAGAAATAAAATCAAACCAAAGAGGTATTGTTTAAATTTTATTTAAAGTGACATTTTACGACTTTCTTTCAAATTTTTACTCATCCTAAAATCAAATTATAAAAATCAAATCTAATCTAATAATGCCTCGCTACACACGTTCACGTCATTTTCATTATAACGTTTATTGAAACTGGACTATGATGGACGAACTTGTTAACATACGCCAAAACAGAAACTGCGCCTACCACAATATAATGGTAGAAGCTGCCATGATTTTTGGGACTTTGTTGCCAATAGGTTCATATGACTAATATCTATAATTTCTTTAAGAAAAAATTTAAATTCAAATTAACCAATCCATTTAATTGAATCAGAATAAATAGAATATTTCGAACGAGGGTTTCTGGGCAACAGTGCAGCTAAAAGTGGAGGAACCTCATCAGCACAGATCGAAAAGTGAAAAATCAGGCACCAATCGGTCACCAATCAGGTAGCTGATTGGTGACTGATTGGTGACTGATTGATGCCTGATTTTTCACTTTTCGACCTGTGCAGGAATTACCATGTAAGTAAATAAATAAAATTACATTCATATAAATTAAATGTATTTATTGAATATTCAAACTGATTTTGATATTAAGAACTATGTCCTTTATCGTAATGTAACCCTAGGCGGCAGCTGTGGACGCGTACCGGCTAAAGATATTATCGTGAATTTAAAACGAGATTTTAGGAGAGACCAGGTAATTATACTATAATAAAATTTATAATTAATATTTACGTTCATGTTTTAAATTTGATAAATTTGATTAATTTTAGTCACGCGTAATGATCATAGGGTAAGGAGAAACTTAGAAGAAGATATTTATTTTTATTTTTTTATTATTTATTAAGTAAGTAGCTAGGTCCAATCCGTACTAAATATCGGCTGGAGACTCACATTTTTTTTGGGCTGTGACTGATACTGACGTCCACGCCGTACAGCCTGGGTACTATTTTATAAAATAGTAGCGAACAAGTATCAAATGTGTATTTTTTAATTAAGTTATAATAAAAATTAAAATTTACTTTGATTTTTAACATAAAAATTGTAAATAATAAAAAATTCGTAAATAAAAATAAATTTATTTTCTCAAACTTTAAAAAAAGGTGTTTATATAAAAGAAAAGGTGTTTATATTATTTTTGATTATTCAATAGTATCACATGCCCCTTATATACGTTCTATTGTATATGCAGCTTTAACGATCGAATAGTAATATTACACAGATTTACAATCTCATAAATTTTTGAAATATTTTAACTGTAATATTACGCAGGTTTACAGTCTCGTAAATTTTTGAAATATTTTAACCATAATATTACGCAAGTTTACAGTCTCATAAATTTTTGAAATATTTTAACCGTAATATTACGCAGGTTTACAGTTTCGTAAATTTTTGAAATATTTTAACCGTAATATTACGCAGGTTTACAATTTCGTAAATTTTCAAAATATTTTGACCGTAATATTGCGTAAATCTTACGATATTGAAAACTTGTGTAATATTTTAACTGTAATATTACATAAATCTTACGAAATTGTAAACTTATGTAATATTTTGAAATTTTTTGAAATATTATGCCATAAACTTTCGTAAACTTACAAAATCGTAAACTTACGCAATTTTTCATGCTATAAAATTTCCTGATGTATAAATGTAAAATTTTAATAAAATAGTTGCCTTCCTACTATTTATAACTTTGTAATTTTAAAAGTAATATTTAATAATATAGTTTTTTATTTTTTTGAATATTTCTATATATACTGATTGTGAAAAAGTGTATATTTTTTGCCAAATTTTGCCTTATTACACAACTTTATCTTTAATTTTAATCAGTAAATTTGCATAATTTTGGTATTAAAAGATTCTTTTCTTTAAAAGAACCATCTTTTTCTATATTATCTTATAATATTAACTTAATAAAATTATAAGATAAATAATGTATAAAGTTTAAAACATAGTCAGATGTGACCTCAACTATAATTATCTGGGGTCCTATCTATCCCCTAGGTATAACTAAACTAAATTGATTATCACATTTTGCTTTATATTATTTTCGTAAAAATGCACTTGCTATCCAAATGTTTAAGTATTGTGGTAAGGCAAAATGTAATGGTGATTTCTGTAAAAATGCTTTTATAAAATAACATATTTGAAAAAAATATATAGTCTTTTGGGAGAGCACGGAAAAAAAGGTTCTTAAAGTTCCATTTAAAGGAGGGCAATTTGGAAGGTGAAGAAGAAGAGCATCTTAGATACAAATGTGAAATAAATACTATTAGTAAATACTATACCGAAACGCCTGAAATTGGGCAGAAGTTGCTAACATGGAATCAAGATTTTAAGGTAAGATTTATTCAATTTATTCGAGGTTGTTAGCTTGAGTTGTTCTGCACCATCACCAACTACCTTGCTGGTTACGTACTGGTACTGGGAAAGGTTACGTACTTGTCATTGATTTAGGCTGGTTATGATTTTTTTTTTCACGCAAGACGGAACTAATCATCACTTTTTCTGTTGGTCAAAAGAAATAAATCATTTTTGGGATCTGCAAGATAAGAGGCAAAACGTTCATTCAGAGAAGTTGTTGTTTGAGGAGGAAGCCATAAAGAGTCCTTTACTTATAAGTCTAAAAAGGGTTTATAATACTAATTTTGATGGGAGGTGCATTACTACTAGTGATGCAGTTGGAACTGTCCCAATGAATTGGCCGGCATATAGTGGATTGTGACCACAGTTACGGCAAAACTGTGAGAAACCCAATGTGCTGTTAATGTTATTAATGCCGTAACTTTTACTGTGGCCAATGACGCCGTAGAGTATAAATAGTCTAAGTAGATAACATAAAATAGTTTAATAGTATATATGGCTTAACAGTATAAATTTTAAATCTCTCCGAATCTGTTATAAAAATTTAAAGTGATTCTTTGATTATAAATTTCATGGAACAATAATTTAATAGTAATGAAGGCGAAAAATAATGAATAATATGATATATTATAAAGTATAAAATAAAGTATGTAAATATGTNCATGTACATGATTTTTAATTATTTTTAATTGAAATCAAACTAAGATTTTTTTTTTTAAAAAAAAATTAAAATAAATTAAGTGATTTATATTTATATTTAGAATCATGATATTTATATTTAGATAATCCATATCCGCATGAGATTTAATTAATATGTTTAATGATGAAAAGTCTAATAAATTAAATTTTAATTGAAATGAGAAATAAAATCAAACCAAAGAGGTATTGTTTAAATTTTATTTAAAGTGACATTTTACGACTTTCTTTCAAATTTTTACTCATCCTAAAATCAAATTATAAAAATCAAATCTAATCTAATAATGCCTCGCTACACACGTTCACGTCATTTTCATTATAACGTTTATTGAAACTGGACTATGATGGACGAACTTGTTAACATACGCCAAAACAGAAACTGCGCCTACCACAATATAATGGTAGAAGCTGCCATGATTTTTGGGACTTTGTTGCCAATAGGTTCATATGACTAATATCTATAATTTCTTTAAGAAAAAATTTAAATTCAAATTAACCAATCCATTTAATTGAATCAGAATAAATAGAATATTTCGAACGAGGGTTTCTGGGCAACAGTGCAGCTAAAAGTGGAGGAACCTCATCAGCACAGATCGAAAAGTGAAAAATCAGGCACCAATCGGTCACCAATCAGGTAGCTGATTGGTGACTGATTGGTGACTGATTGATGCCTGATTTTTCACTTTTCGACCTGTGCAGGAATTACCATGTAAGTAAATAAATAAAATTACATTCATATAAATTAAATGTATTTATTGAATATTCAAACTGATTTTGATATTAAGAACTATGTCCTTTATCGTAATGTAACCCTAGGCGGCAGCTGTGGACGCGTACCGGCTAAAGATATTATCGTGAATTTAAAACGAGATTTTAGGAGAGACCAGGTAATTATACTATAATAAAATTTATAATTAATATTTACGTTCATGTTTTAAATTTGATAAATTTGATTAATTTTAGTCACGCGTAATGATCATAGGGTAAGGAGAAACTTAGAAGAAGATATTTATTTTTATTTTTTTATTATTTATTAAGTAAGTAGCTAGGTCCAATCCGTACTAAATATCGGCTGGAGACTCACATTTTTTTTGGGCTGTGACTGATACTGACGTCCACGCCGTACAGCCTGGGTACTATTTTATAAAATAGTAGCGAACAAGTATCAAATGTGTATTTTTTAATTAAGTTATAATAAAAATTAAAATTTACTTTGATTTTTAACATAAAAATTGTAAATAATAAAAAATTCGTAAATAAAAATAAATTTATTTTCTCAAACTTTAAAAAAAGGTGTTTATATAAAAGAAAAGGTGTTTATATTATTTTTGATTATTCAATAGTATCACATGCCCCTTATATACGTTCTATTGTATATGCAGCTTTAACGATCGAATAGTAATATTACACAGATTTACAATCTCATAAATTTTTGAAATATTTTAACTGTAATATTACGCAGGTTTACAGTCTCGTAAATTTTTGAAATATTTTAACCATAATATTACGCAAGTTTACAGTCTCATAAATTTTTGAAATATTTTAACCGTAATATTACGCAGGTTTACAGTTTCGTAAATTTTTGAAATATTTTAACCGTAATATTACGCAGGTTTACAATTTCGTAAATTTTCAAAATATTTTGACCGTAATATTGCGTAAATCTTACGATATTGAAAACTTGTGTAATATTTTAACTGTAATATTACATAAATCTTACGAAATTGTAAACTTATGTAATATTTTGAAATTTTTTGAAATATTATGCCATAAACTTTCGTAAACTTACAAAATCGTAAACTTACGCAATTTTTCATGCTATAAAATTTCCTGATGTATAAATGTAAAATTTTAATAAAATAGTTGCCTTCCTACTATTTATAACTTTGTAATTTTAAAAGTAATATTTAATAATATAGTTTTTTATTTTTTTGAATATTTCTATATATACTGATTGTGAAAAAGTGTATATTTTTTGCCAAATTTTGCCTTATTACACAACTTTATCTTTAATTTTAATCAGTAAATTTGCATAATTTTGGTATTAAAAGATTCTTTTCTTTAAAAGAACCATCTTTTTCTATATTATCTTATAATATTAACTTAATAAAATTATAAGATAAATAATGTATAAAGTTTAAAACATAGTCAGATGTGACCTCAACTATAATTATCTGGGGTCCTATCTATCCCCTAGGTATAACTAAACTAAATTGATTATCACATTTTGCTTTATATTATTTTCGTAAAAATGCACTTGCTATCCAAATGTTTAAGTATTGTGGTAAGGCAAAATGTAATGGTGATTTCTGTAAAAATGCTTTTATAAAATAACATATTTGAAAAAAATATATAGTCTTTTGGGAGAGCACGGAAAAAAAGGTTCTTAAAGTTCCATTTAAAGGAGGGCAATTTGGAAGGTGAAGAAGAAGAGCATCTTAGATACAAATGTGAAATAAATACTATTAGTAAATACTATACCGAAACGCCTGAAATTGGGCAGAAGTTGCTAACATGGAATCAAGATTTTAAGGTAAGATTTATTCAATTTATTCGAGGTTGTTAGCTTGAGTTGTTCTGCACCATCACCAACTACCTTGCTGGTTACGTACTGGTACTGGGAAAGGTTACGTACTTGTCATTGATTTAGGCTGGTTATGATTTTTTTTTTCACGCAAGACGGAACTAATCATCACTTTTTCTGTTGGTCAAAAGAAATAAATCATTTTTGGGATCTGCAAGATAAGAGGCAAAACGTTCATTCAGAGAAGTTGTTGTTTGAGGAGGAAGCCATAAAGAGTCCTTTACTTATAAGTCTAAAAAGGGTTTATAATACTAATTTTGATGGGAGGTGCATTACTACTAGTGATGCAGTTGGAACTGTCCCAATGAATTGGCCGGCATATAGTGGATTGTGACCACAGTTACGGCAAAACTGTGAGAAACCCAATGTGCTGTTAATGTTATTAATGCCGTAACTTTTACTGTGGCCAATGACGCCGTAGAGTATAAATAGTCTAAGTAGATAACATAAAATAGTTTAATAGTATATATGGCTTAACAGTATAAATTTTAAATCTCTCCGAATCTGTTATAAAAATTTAAAGTGATTCTTTGATTATAAATTTCATGGAACAATAATTTAATAGTAATGAAGGCGAAAAATAATGAATAATATGATATATTATAAAGTATAAAATAAAGTATGTAAATATGTTTTTAAGAAAATTTAAATTTTAATAAATATTACACACAAGTTATAGTGACTATTTATGGCACATATACCAGTTACGGCGCATTTACCAGTTCCAATTTGCCGTAAAAGTAAAGAGTTATAACTAGTTATAACTCAGTTGTGATACGGCTCATGGAGTTCCAACTGCATCTCTAGTTACTACGCACCTGCGTATAAAATTTTAACTAAACCCAATTTTAAAAATTAATATATTTAATAATACTTCACAAAATTAATGAATTAATTA